ATTCAAAGGGAATCCTTGTCTGCCAAAAAAGGAATAACAATAAAAAATCCCTGAGCAAAATATAACAAGAAATCCCTTCCCTGCCCTCCTTCCTTCCCCACTGCAGCCTTTCTATTGCCAGCTCCAGCAAAGTTTTAAGTCTCAGCATCATGAGTAGGTGCAGGGGAAAGAGCTCCAACCCCTCCGTGTGTGTGTGCAGGGGGAAGAGGTGAAGATTGGGGTACTGGAGTGTCTGAACACTGGGTGTGAGGGTGTACAATTGCATTTCCGCCTGTACCGCTGCATCCTTCTGCTCCTTGCTGCTGGAAATGTTTGTGTGTCTGTTTGCTCTGTGTGTGTGTACACGTGTGTGCTTGTGTGCTTTGCCAACCCTGCTGGTGTCTGTATGAAAATATACGGTAAAAAGGTAATAATATCAGGTGGAGACAGTCCGTACGAGAGGGTTTAATAGAGATGAGACAACTTGTTTCAGGAAAAGCCTGGAAAGAAATCTGTCGGGAAGATTAGTGAATAGATCTGCCTTTCACTTTTGGATGTGTCTGCTCAAAGCTGCTGCCGTGGTTCATGTAAAACCCAGCTCGAAACATCTGCAGTGCTCGCCCTGAACACGACGGGCACAGGGCAGGGACAAGGCTGCAGCCTGCGCGCTGGATTTTGTAGCCGTACACTGTTGGAACAGATGTTTTCCTTTTTACTGAGAGCGAGTTTTTTAATAATGGAGCCGAGCTTTAGTCTCTAACCAGCTACTGATTGATTTTCCATCACCAGACAGGCACAGAGACGCACAGAAAAACTTGGTTTGTGCCTTGCTAAGTGGCTCACATGTCTGCCTGTGCCCCTGACCCCCACCCAGGCCAGCACCAACACCCCTAGGGATACCCCAGCTACATGGGACTGCATTTACGTGAGATGTAAAGGAAGATCTCTTAAATCTGGTCCCCTCATCTGAACCATGCTGAGGTATGACACTGTGGATGCTGCTTGCGGATGTGTCTTTGTGCTTTGCTCAGGGACTTTTCTGCAGATGTGCCAGAGGAGCAGGGTGTTTTACGTATACCATATCATATGGCCTAGGCTCAGGGAGAGGAACAACAAAAGGATGCAATTTCTGCCTTGATTGTGGCTTTTGTCATGTTCATCTAGGCTCTTATGCTCATTTCCATCTTCTGGGGTCATGTCCAATTTACCTTGTTTTCTTCTTTGCAAGTTTAAAATAGCAGAGAGCAAAAAACTTACTCTTAGCAGTGCCTGGGAGTCAACAGAACCTGTGAGCTACTGCCATGTACAGGCACTGAGCCTGTTTAAAGCATGAGGACAGAATCCTCCTTTCCCATCAGCAACGCAGATCTTTTATTTACACGCTGGCAGTCCCTGTGCACCTTTCACACTCGTGCTACGTGTAAAACTCCCCTTTGCATCTGTGCAGAATGAATGCAGAATAAGTAATTGAGATCTGCAGTGCAGGTGAGTGATTTCCCAGTGCTGACCCAAGAGGAAAAAAACCAAACCTTGCATGCGGTGTTGGTGATGTCCGAGCTGCATATGTGTGCCCGCTCACCCCAGTGGTGGTGGCTGTGCCCTTTGTGGCAGTCAGGGGCTCGCAGGAGTGTTTTCTTTTTGAAACCTGCGTGCGACATGATGTGGTCGATCAGTTGTAGGACTCCAGAGACTGGCTCCCCTGCCTTGCCTGCTGCTGCGTGGGCTGAGCACCAAACTCTCAGTACCACCTTAGTTTACCGTCTGTCTGTCTACCTGTATCTGTTGATCTGGTTGTTCATCTTGTGTTTGTCCATCACCTGTAGCAGTTAAGCTACAGTAGAGCCCCTGTCTTTGTTTTCAGCCCTAAATAGAGCCTTTATGGAGAAAAATCCCACAGAAGAGGAGCTGGAAAGGTAAAACACGGGCATGCTCCTAGCAAATGCCAGCTGAGCATTTCTGAGCACCACTGTTGTTCTTTCTGTAGCCATGAAGTGTCACACATGTAACGATGGGGCACTCCTTTTTACCACGCCTTTCCTCGAAGCCAGTGAGTCTGGTTTCCCTCTCCATGATTTGATCTGATTCTATAGGGCTGTCCCGTTATTTGTGACAAAAAAGGCAAACCCTAAAGTGGTAGCAAAGGGGAGGAGGAATCACCTGGTTTTACATTGCTTGTAGGGGCAGACTCAGCCTCCTGGGCTTTGTCTCTAAATGCTGGACTCTGGAGTGGTGGTGGGACTCCCTGAGTGTCTGCCAGTCTCTCTGTGTCCGCACTTCTTCTCCCTTACCAGCCCTTTCCTTTCTGACACTGGCTTAGCACTTTTAAAATTTCCTCATATATACATCAAAGGGCAGAAAAAGACCTGAGCGAAATACTGAGCTCCATCCGTTCACTGGCAGCTGGCTCTTGTAGTCCTTCCCATAAATTTGTTAGGCACCTTGTTAAAGCGGATTGCTGGCTTGCACCCAGTGCCTCTGTTGGAAGGCAGGATCCCTTTGCCCAGATGGTAGGAAACTTCTATTTGAAACCTTAATTTCCTTTCCACACTAGAGGAGACATATTGGGTAGGAGCATGAGGGACCTGCCTGTACCCATTTGGTGAGCTCTTAGCATCTTCTCAGATGCCTCAGAGCTATACAGGTTGCATCAAAGTCATTGCCCGTGGAAAAGTGAGACCCACTAGGACTAGAGGAGAGGCTGTTGCTCTCAGGGTGGTGTTGTGTGCTAGGACCCACAGAATCATTCAGGTTGGAAGAGACCTCTAAGATCAAGACCAACCGTCAACCCAACCCCCCCATGGCCACTAAACCATGTCCCCAGGTGCCACATCCACACGGTTTTTGAACACCTCCAGCATTAAACCCCATGCAGTTGTGGTTGATGGTACACTTGGTGAGCTCCTCAAAACCTGATGTGCAGAGGACCGAATGTCTGCAGGACCTATGCCCGTAGTCATGGTGGGGCCAGAGACATGTCTAGGTGTAACTTGGGATGTAGCTGCCTCGTGGCCCTGCTCTAAATCCCAATTTCAACCTCACAACTTTCCCAGCAAGGACCAGTGCCCAGGCAGCTCAACACAGCCTATTCTGGCTTCCTTATTTTTAGAATGTTACGAATATAACATACAATTGTTATCTCATTTGAGTGCATTTTTGTTACTTTTTGCTTGTTCCATGAAAAAAAGCCAAACTTGGTGTTCATATATGTTACAGTGGCAGTAGAATTGTTCATACACACGTAGAAATCCATGTCTGACATGAGTTTCTACGTGTACTGCCCAAAATGCTCCGTAGGTACAATCTGAGTTGTAGTTATCATTACCTGCTTCTGTAGTACTTCCAGGGAGATCAAACAGTTACAAAAGCCAAGCAACTGAGCCCTCAAAACAAAAAATCCTTCCTTGTCCCACGAGCCACAGAGATGGCTTCTATTTAAAACCAGTCCTCACAAAAGAGCACAAATTTTATCCTTGATGCTTGAAGCTCAAGTATTTACACAGGGAATTTAGACTCTTCACTTGTGGTTTTGGCAAAAGCTTCACACAAAAGTTTTGCACTGGTGGTCTCTTAGCCATTTAAGATAAACGACAAAATCAAATGCAGTCCTTGCAGACTGGAGCGCTGGATGCTGTGCCAAGGACGAAGGATCCCTGTTTGCCTCACATGTGGAGCTGTCAGATCAACTTGCAGGCCTAGTTTCCAAATCGAGAGTCTCAAGGTGGAGAGTTTTCCTTAGAAAATGTGGCTTTTTTAGAGTTGGAGGGAACATGGATAAATATTCCTCCTTGCTGCCATGGTTTTTGCATGTATCTGCAAGGTGCACACGCGTGCACAGACAGAATTGCCACCATTAAAAAAGAGAAAAAAGAGCATTTGCCAGAAAGGTACCCCACAATTAACACATGTATTTCCTGATCTAAATACAGGGGGAAACTGTGGTTTCTGATCTACCACTGTGCGGTAACTGTTGGCAAATGCCAGCTTTTTAATGGTGACCACTCTGCCACATATCTTCATTTAGAAACTGCCCTTGATTAGTAGCTACCCTTTATTTAATGATTAAGTTGCAGGCATTGTTTTAAATGAAGGGGGTGGGATTCTCAGGAGATGTAAAGCGGTGCCGTTCGCTCAACTTCCCTTTAAACTCTGCTCATTCGCGCCAGCCAAAAATATGGCTTCTACCCGATTCTGTGTATGTGTGTGTGTGTGTGTTTGTATGTATCTGTATTTGTGCAGGTGTATATCGACATTTAAGATTCATATCTTAGTTTTTCAAAGCCGCGGGCCTGAGTTTGGCCTAGTGCCAGGAGGAGCGAGCGTTTCCAGCGGAGCAGGAGAAAACTCTTTTTTAAATCCAGCTTTTAAATGGCAGGTGGTTCCTAGAGGGGTTAAAAAAATAAATAATACTGCTGGAGGTTACAATATCATCTTTTAGATGCCAGGGGGAAAAGGTTGCTCCCTTCTTCGCAGGCTCGGTAGGGAAGCAGGCCACATAAACTGGCCACAGCTCAAATGGGAAGGCGGCGCGGCCGCCACCAACGCTTCCTTCTGGGATTTCGGCTCCTGGCACCTCTCTGAAGCCATTTGAGCTCTAAGTCACTGCATTTTGTCCACAGCCCGCTTTAGTGGTGGCTTGTCAAAAGCCCTGCCTGGTTTTGTGTCGGCTCAAAGCATTAACGTAGCCGTCAAACAATAATCCCCTTTTTCATTTGGGCCCTCAGTAAGTGCTGTGGGTGACATCTGCCGCCTCCACACCAGGGCTGGCTGTCCACCCCATTCCGTCCCTCTCCATGCCCCCAGTGGACCCCCAGCCTGGGTTTGCTATTCCCCCAGATCTCTTCTTGCTCTTCCCCTCCCGGCGTAGGCCCACCCGCCTCAGCCGGACCCAGAGAGGGGTTCAGACCAAGGGTGTCGCGCGTTAGGCAGCCAGCCCCCGCCTCGCCTGTTCCCCCTGATGATGCCTCCTCTGTCCCTTCAAACTTAGATCCGACTGACAGTTTTTTCTATTGTTTTTTCTCCAGGGCCGTCCAGGCCTGCAAACCTGCCGGGGGCTCCCATAGCTGCCTCCTCCCACCCTCACACATCCGTGATCACGTCACCTCTCCGCGCAATGGCCTCCCTCCCGCCCTGCCTTAGCCTGCCCTGCTGTGGTGCACGTGCAGTCTCAGTTGGCGGGACTCAGACTGAGATTCAGACTGAGACGTCAGGCACATTTGGATGTCATTGTCAGTTGTCAGGTAATAGAAATATTTTTTTTTTGTCGCTATCTGAAGGTCAGTAGTGCTGCCAAATGGATGTCGTCTTTGCTGTGGGAGAGCTGCCTTGGCTGGGTTGTGTGGGGACGGCAGAGAAAATGCTCTAAACCACCCCTCTTCCCCTTCATTCTTCCCTCCTCCACCCTGGCAAAGGATGGGAAGCAGGAAAGGGTGTGCAGCTCCCTCCATTTCCCCATCCCTCCCCTCCTGCCTGCCCACCCTGAGCTGTCACCAGCAGCCACTGGTTTGTGCCACGTTGTGAACAAATACCTGAGACTTCTCGCAGAATGTGATACCCCAGTATCAAGATTTCATCTCTCTGGGCTGTTTATTTTAAGCTTAATTGGATAACATTTAACATCTGAGGTGGTTTGTTTTTTTCCTCCTCCTTTTTCCCTCCCCAACCATTCGTATTAAAGGCTCTCCTCCACATCCATGTGCACGCAGGATGTATGTGCTCCATGTCGTTTTTCTCCCTTGCTTTGAGAAAATGCTCCTTGGTAACTTGCCACGCATCCCTTGCTTTTATTTTTTCGCCTTTATTCCTTCTCGTTGCCTGACTTTTGTCACCGCAAGGAGGGGAAAGTGATGTGAAAATGAGGGCACACCGAGCTAGCCAAAGAAGATGCAGACATATTGTTGCCAGACCCCATCATTTCAGACCCAGCAATCTCTTTGAAATCAGTGGGTGTTTTCAGTTGCGAGATTGGGGCTATGGTGAACCGAGGGCTTGAGAGGTGAAAATGGGGAGGGCTTAAAAGAAAATACAGCTGTGGCAAAATCCGCAAGCATTTATGGAGGCTCACTGTGGTGGGCCAAACCCTGCAGCCCTCATTCGTGCTAATGTGCATGGAGTTTTAATAGGTAGTTCCCAGAATGATGCTGGATAAGTAATGTGTGAGGACTAGAGGATTTAGAGAGACAACAATGACTGTCAGGAGTAAAGCCTTTGGGAAATGCCTCCTCATGTCACCCTGAAGTTGGTACAACTTTGCTGCACTCAGCTTTTTCCTTCCAGAAGCAGTGGTGTCACCTGGCTGCAGTCTGCTATACCTCATGAGAATGGCCCTGTACTTCTTCCGTTGTTGTAATAGAAAAAGTTTTGCAATAAATTGAAATTTGCATCTCACAGAGAGAAAATATTCCCGGGAGGAGGCTGAGTGCAGTCCACTGGGTCCTGTTTTGACCCTGGTTGAAGCTCAGGGTGCATGAGGAAGAGTCCTGAGCTGCCTGGGAGAGGCTCAGCCTGCACCCAGCAGCTTGTGCCTGGTGATGGGCTTGCAGTGATGCACTGCCCAGTGCGGCGCCTTTGCTGAATCCCGGAGATTTGGGCAGGTTTCCGATCTGAGCTGCAGCGTGAGGACGATAGGAACTTGGACTAGGCTGCCCAGAGAGGTGTGGAGTCTCCTTGAGGGTGTGGAGTCTCCTTGAGGCTGTAGAGTCTCCTTCTCTGGAGATATTCAAGCCCCTGGACGTGTTCCTGGGTGATCTTCTCTGGTGATCCTGCTCTAGCAGGAGCTGGACTGGGTAAGCTGCAGAGGTCCCCTCCAACCCCAACCATGCTGTGATTCAGTAAGGATACTGTTTTAATCTGTCTCTTCTTCATCAATCAGAGCAGATTGAACAACTGGCTTGAGACGGGTGTAGAGAAGGGCTCTTCCAAACGGTGAGCGCTGGATCAGAAAGCCAGATAGCTCTCCCAACTCCCCCATTCCCTCCTCCTCATAACCAGTAAAGCAAACTCAGACTGGTCTCATGCTTTGCTGTTCTCTCTCTTCACTGGTGCAGCGTGCACACAGGTGCCTTTGGTAGGCAGGTAGCTGCAGTGGTGAACCGGATGCCCTGGTTCCCCGTTGCTTCTGATGCCAGCAGCTCGTGGGGAGGGAAGCAAGCACAACTAAAAATAGAAGAGGAAGGAAGGAATAACTTATTAAAGAACGTGGGAAGGCGAGGCTTTTGTACTTTGAGTTCTCACTTTGGAGTTGTGTGCTGGGAGTTTTCAGGACTGCCTGTTTGCTGGGAGAGCGATGCCAGCTCTGCGGAGAGAGAGACCTGTTATCATGGCTTCCTGTAATTACTGCTGCAGTCTGCGGCACTTAGAGAATAGGTTATATCAAAGTGCATGCTACATGTTTATGACAGTAGTTGGTCAAGTTCTGCTTGAAAGAAACATTTTCTTCCCTTGAAAAAGGAGATTATGTCTACTTAACCCTTTCTTAGCTCCTGTAGGATTCACCGCATATGAGCTCGGGCATGGTTTAAGCCCTGTGGCAAGGGTTACGGGATGGTTCTAGCCCCTGAAATGTTTTGTGGAAATGAAAGAAAAGTGAGTTCTTTGTGTTGACTAATAATCTAGTGACGATCCCTGCATTGTGCCCTCTTTTTTAATGTAGACATTTACAACAGTCACTTGCTACAGCTTCAGAGACCTGCCTGTCTCTCTGACTTGATTAGCCTTTTATTCTGTCAGCCCCGTTCTTGCTTCTGAGGAATTGTTTCCTTCTTTGAACAAAAGCCATCAACAGTTCCCGCCTCTCCTCCTCCTTCATCATTTCTTACCTTTCCTGTTTTTCAGCATTCATTTAATGCAGGACCCGGAGTTTTTCTGTGCAGTTCTCTGTGACTCTGAAGGTTTGAAGTTGCGGGTGCTCCCAAATCTCTGCTGGGCACTCACAAATCGGACCCCTGAGAGTCCCAGCAGTTTTGTGCTGGAGAATCCAAACTTCTGGCTGCCGATGGGATTTGGGGTATGCACCTGTAAAAACTGCATTGGGAAATCTCCAACCTAGATAAGAGCGATCACCCAGAAAGCTGTTTGTGATCCGTAGAAAACCTGCTGCTGGGAGTAGTTTGAGACACAGCAAATGATGCTGGGAAGCCCGCTTGGGTGTCCGCTGTGTCATTCAGCCAGTGCTGGTCATGGTCCCCTCTGCCTTTGTTCAAATCCTTTTGTTCAAGACACCACAGGATGAAGAATTTGCATGTAAAGGTCTATGTTTTACCATGTGATTTAAAAAAAAAAAATTACTGCTGGAACAGTCTCTCTCTTCAGCCGCTTTATTTATTTATTTTTTAGTGCCTCAGAGGCTTCTGTCTGTTGAATTGGGCTCTCCCGTTTAAATGTTTTTAGTGCCTATTTAATTAGAAGTTGGAATAGAGTCATGAAATTCACAGGGTTGTGTAGCTTGGATCTGAAATATAAATGGGCAAAGCATTCATTTTGCTTTACCCCTTGCCAGATTAGGGTGCTTTTTTGAGCCTGCTTTTTATTTCGTTTCAATGAATTGCGACTGCTCAGAGTAACTGTAAAACACACACAGGTTTTTTTGCATAACAGAGACATGCAAATGATTGTTGAGAGACGTAATTATGTAAAGAAAAGTATATGCCCCTATGCATGCAGACATACACTGCGAGGCTTTTTGTGGGGCTATTTTTTCACAATACATCTTCATAAGGCCCTTTTTATGATGCTGATTTATTAATATTGTACATTAAGGCTTAAATTGTCAAAGCTGCCTAAGAGATTTGGATGCCCATTTCCCATTAAAGTTAACGAGAAACGAGCTTTGAAAATCTCAGCGCAGAAGTGCGTGGCACTTTATGGTGTGCTCTCCAAAGAAAAAAACCAGTCCCTGCCCTGAAGATCCTACAGTGCAAAAGCCCCAGAAATGGGATTATAATCGGTGTAAGACAAAGGGGATTGTAATGGCACAGGCAATAATTTATCCCCTATGCCTGCATTCAGAGACATATACCTGATCCAAAAGTCTTTGGACCTGCGCCCACGAGTGAGGGTTTTATATACCTCTGTAAAGATAATTAAATCTGTCCAATACACATATATTCAGCTAACCAGTGAAACTGCTCGCTTCCCACATGTAGGCTGATGGAAGGAGGTGGAAAGCAATTACGATACTTAGTTGCATATATAAAAACAGCAAGTGGGCATGGACAGCAGTGATTAATGGGTAGGGCTGTGAAATTTAAGGTCTAAAATAGAGGAAGGCATGGGGCCATAGCTCAGAAGAGTGGAACAAGCTCCTGTTAATTCAAGGAACCGGCTGTATTAGTCATTAGGACATTCCAAAAATCACGCAGTCATCTTGTAAAGTTAATACAGATTTACTTGGCTACTGAAATTCTCCTTACTGCATCATTTAACTAGCCTGGTGTTTTCTTGGCAAAGGTTAAGGTGACAGTAAAGATAAAAGAGGTACCTGTAAGTAAATAATAGGTTTTAAAGGAATACGTTTTCCTCCTTCAATTATATCACTGTATTCATTTTGTGTTGGTTTTATAACTGGAGTCAGCCAATAAGGAGAGCTAGATTAGACCACCCTGCTGTAAGAAGCTTGTTGCAATTAATGCAGTCTGCCTAGAAAGCAGTATTATTTCAAAAACTTTTATGTTAATGATATGGTATGTGCTCGGCACATTTCTTACTAGAATAAGAAGCAAGCTTTTGTTCACTCCAGACTGGGTTTTATTAACACAGGAGGATCAATGGAAAACAAAACAGTAATCAGAGCGGGGAATGCAAACTCATCCAGCAAAAACCTCCTTACTCATCAAGTCCCGGGACGATGGCTGATACTCTACTCTTCATTTGTTGTTGAGTAGAATCTCAAAAAAAAACCCCAACAAAACCCCACTAAAACTTGATTTCTGAGCTTTTTCAAGAAGAATTGAGTAAATGCATCTGAGGGCAAACAAAGATCTGTGGTTTTCCTGAGCCCCTTTGTAAATGTATCTTTTCATTTTGCTGCATAAAGAAGCACTTTGCATGAAGTCCTGGCTAACATTCAGGAGCCATGTCCCTATTAGTCACACTTGCATGTATTTATTTATTTTAGTGAAATATTTAGTGCGTGCTATAGTAGAATTGACTTTGTGGACAGTACTTGCAGAGTGCAGGGATGTGTGAGAGATGTATGTACTCAAACCGGTAATGCATCAGTCTGAGTGTATGCATCCATCTT